GATCGAACAACAGCTAAAAATTTTCTTCTCTGTAGCACAAGGTCATATAGCACCATGTGCTAGAATTTTGTAGAATGTGTGTCCGTATAGGACAAAATGATTGGGGCCACCCCCTTTCTCTTTCTCTTTCCCTTTCCCTTTCTCTTTCTCTTTCCCTTTCTCCTTTCCCTTTCTCTTTCTCTTTCCCTTTCCCTTTGCCTTAGTCTTTGACTTTGCCTAGCCATGGCCAATCACTTCACCCATGCATGTGCCTTGGCAGCGCCATCGCCTTTAACTTCGCCTACAACTGGTTGTGAGGCCGCTATATGTGAGGTCGCCCCTCATAACTGGGACCTCCCCTTCAGGCACCTGGCCATCCTGGCTTCAGTCGAGTCAAAATGGACCAGCGAAAGATAAGTTGATAGTTTTATAGCAGCGCCAAAGATGTAAAATTTATTTTGTTCTTTTAAACTGTAAAATTGTAATGTAATGGAAATGTTTTTTTTTTGTTAAATTTTTGTGTTCTGTTTGTTCTTCTATCCTCTAGCCATGCCATGGTCGACACCATGCCACCGACTGAGCTACCGGAAGCTAATGCTAACCCCCTTTCTGTGATTGTACAGAAAAGTTGGAATCTTTATTGCATTCCATCTTTTCTGGACTTTTTGCGGAAAGGAAGTGTTACAGTGTATTAATCTTCGTGGAGCATACTTCGAAAAACAATGAAGTCATTTGAAACTATCTACCGTGTTGTTTCATTTCGATATGCAAAACTTTAAAGACATCCCTCATATATACGAAGGTGTCAAATTGACGAGCAACGCGAAGCGAGAAATGAAGTTGAACGGGTCGAATGACTGAGATTCAACAACGTAAAGGTGTCGCACTTAATCAAAATCGAGGTGCATTCAATTTTGCCGTGGCAATTGATTACAGTTCACAACAAATCGTTGCTATTGGACCAAAGAACGTTGTGAGTCCAAATGGCAAGGCCTTCAAGCTTAAAAATGAAGCCCCTGGATTATTTTGCGTCAGTAGAAAAATCAAATTGACTCCATTGGGGATGACAGTGCTGCCAAGGTATTTTGCTAGCCACATGGCGGTACAAACGCTTCGCTATACAATTACCTATATTTCATATAGTTACCCTTTTATCATTCATTTTTCATTCCAGTTCATAGCGACAGGTCAACGTCTGTCGGGTCAGCTAGTACTTCATAAATAAATAACACAAATGGGTAAAGAATTGGACATATTATCTTAAAAAATACCACATAGAAGACATACCAAACAAACTATAAACAATTACATGCGTCAAAGGACCCCTGCACAGCGTTAAATGCACGATCTAGGAAGAAGTTTTTGAGAACACTGTTGAGCCTTCTTTCATTGAGGCATGTTATAGGTTTTTGCAATGAATTGAGAAGTCTATGATCCATGTAAAAAGGACTTCATAAAGGGATCTATACTAAGAGACATATAAATCCGAACACCCAGTTTAAATGGTTTTATTTTAATAAAATTTTGTACAAGTACTTAATGAAGCATAATAAGTAAATGATAAAAATTTCAAAATGATTGCACTGCTTTAAAGCCCTTTGACCTTTAATAATGTGTGGATGCACCCTGATGTGCTACGCATTCTAGAACGCGCCTAGGCATGCTTCTGATCAGGTGGTCAATGTCCTCCTGTGGAATCTTATTCCAGGCAACCACCAACTCCTCTCGAAGTGCTTCTAGAGTCTGAGGAGGACGTTGCAAATTGAGCAATCTCCTACCCATCATATCCCACACGTGCTCAATTGGGGATAAATCGGGAGATCTTGGTGGCCATGGTAGCAATGTGACATCATTATGTTGAAAGAAGTCTATTGTGACTCTTGCAACATGTGGTCGGGCATTATCCTGTTGGAAAGTTGGATCTGCCAGGGTGTCAAGATAGGGTAGAAGATGGGGTTCTAGGACATAACGCTGCGCGTTCATGTTACCTCTGATGAAGATTAAAGGTGACCTGGAACCATAAGCTATAGCACCCCAAACCATAACTCCAACAGTTTGATGAACATGTCTTTCAACAAAAAACTCTGGATTCCTCCTTTCACCACGTCGCCTTCTAACCCTGGCACGACCATCGTGCATGCCTAAACAAAATCGAGACTCGTCACTAAAGACAATACTGTTCCATTTCTGATCCCAGAGTGACCGTTGTCTGCACCACTCAAGGCGATTACGTCGGTGTTCTCGAGTTAAAGGGAGGACCCAGTGTGGCCGGTATGAAAACAAGCCAAAACTTCTCATTCGTCGGTAAACACTTTGCATGCCAATAGGTCTTCCGTGTTCTGCAAACCATTCATTTGCAATGGACCTGGTAGTGGAGAAACGGTCCTTTAAGGCCAATAATCTTAGGCGGCGATCTTCACGGTCTGTTGTTCTACGGCGGCGTCCAGTGCCCCTTGCTCTTTGCGTACGACCTTCTCTAAGCCATGCCTGACAACACCTAACCACAGTGTCTACACTTCTTTGCACTCTAACTGCAATTGCCCGAAAAGAAAGTCCAGCTTCCCGAAGTCCCACTATACGGCCCCTATCAAACTCACTAAGTTGACGAAATCGTACAGGTCTCCGTACTCTAGGCATCGTAACCGATCGTAAGGGATGCCAAGAACCAAAATCCGCCAACGTTGATTCTTTATTGCGGCTGAAATATTCATTTTTAGAGCATTAGTGAATTAAAAAAAAGCAGTATAAAAACCGGAATGTCCAACTGATAAGGCTGAAAATTTTTTGTTATTTACAGTAAGATAAATACATTCACCAACTTTTATTAAAATAAAACCATTTAAACTGGGTGTTCGGATTTATATGTCACTTAGTATATTACAGGAATCAGAAACTTACCTGTAATGCAGATCGACAGTCACAGTCAGGCCGACCAAAATGAGTGACATATAGCATCTAAGACGTAATACTTCAGTTTAGAAATTTTTCGCGAGTACAATATTACCTCACCGAGTGACGTGAGATGTGAAAAGACTACCATAGTAGTCGAAATAGCACTATCGCATGTAGTTATTTATTCATCAGCTGTGGGACCAAGTGTTGGAAAAGACGAGCAAAGGATAAGTTGAACAAGAAAGCATCAAACGGACGGATTTCAAGTGTATCAATATTCCATGGTAATCTCAAGAAGGGCAGTAGTGCTTTTGTAAGAGCAGAAGAAATGCAACGATGTCTGAATAAGACATTTTTTTCCCGGACAGATGATGGATTACAGCGATGATCAAGCAAAGCACATTCATCCATTCCATTAGAGAACCTGCAGCTGCCGTTTGTTTATAACGTGTTTCTAAGGTCCACCTTCCATTACCCAACACCTCCCAGGCCTTGCTGCTTTCCGACCGCTTTGAAAAATGAACTGACAAAGAACGCTTACTCTTATTTGGCCCTTTTAGCCTTCCTGACTTTTTCCAACATTAATCTCTAGTGCTTACCAGGAAATCTCATGTAAATTCTCGAGTTCTCTTTTTATGTATACAGAGCGGAAAGGGCCACGCCTCTTTGTAGTAGGTTTTCTTGTTTTGTTTCTTGCTGCCGTCGGAGCAGGAATAGTTTTATGGATCTCCTTACCTGCCCACAGTAGAAGGAACATGAACCGCTGGCTTTTAGCGGCAGGAAACAGAGGTTTCTAGTCACGCCATGTTGCCGGAGTTTCTAAATTTTTTAGTTTTGCTTTGGGAACTGTTTGGTCATATCAGCGTGTATACGCTTTTATATAGTCAGTTCCTGGTATCGATCTACCTGTGAGCACTGAGCCACCACAACTGACTAGAGGTTTGAGGTATCTTGTTGATCCGAATTTATATACTAGATGACATAGAAAATGCAACACCGACTAGGCGTGCTGTCATTTTGAGCATACTTTTACAAGGTTTAGGTCTACTCATAAAGTACTGAGGAAGTGATTAATATTTCAACTCTAATATTTCGCAAAATAGCTGAGATATCCTGAAAAACTGAATCTTGCAATGTTTCCAAAAAGAGAAGCAGATGTGTTTGTAAAACTTCGTGGATATAGCGCTGGGCAGTCATGATACCTCGAATGAACACTAATCGTGACCTGCTGCCGTAAGCGATGGCACCTCATACCATAACACCCACAGTGCGATAAATGTGCCGTTCGATGGAATATTGGACGTCTTTCACCACGTCTGCTCTTTACTCTTGCACGGCCATCATTTGGCGGAATGTCGTATACTTCCATGATAGCAATCAAAATAAATAGTTCTGGGTGTTGCATATGTCACTTAGTATAGTTTAGAATTTACGGAGACTCAAATAGTACAAGACAAACATTTTATTAAAAATTACGCGAAAGAATCCTTATGAATCTATTAAACTATTGAGTTTTCTCCTAAAAAATCCAGATTTATTGCTAGAAACATGTTGAGATAACTTAAGATGGCCTAGGTCAGGGATGGCGAACCAAAGGCACGCGTGATATTGATGGCACGCAACACAATAGTTTGGGCACGTCACCAGTCGCTTACTCATTTTGCATTAAGAGAAAAAGTGTAAAGTAGGTAGGTATTTATTTTATGACGAGCGAACGTAAGTAGGTAGAGATGTTTGAAAACGTGGTGAGCCATCATTCATCAAAAAGCCTTGTGTGCTAAGAGTGGTTTAACATACTAGCGGTAGTTTCAAAAATAGTCAACCTCATCTCGCCACAGGCTTTAAACAAGCGAAAGTTCGGTGCTTTGTTGGATGAAGGCAACTCGGTGTACAATGGCTTACTGATGTATAATAATGTTTGCTGGTTGAGCCGCGGGAACGTACTTGAAAGGTTTGTTAGTTGCTTGGACGAAATCAGGCTGTTTCTTCAAACTGAAAGGAAAATTGAACAATACCCACAATTGTTCGATGTTATGTGGCTTTCAAAATTGATGTTTTTTACAGACATATGCTAACATTTAAATACGCCAAACGTGAAGCTTCAAGGCAAAACCAAAACAATTATTGTTATGATAGATCTGATTCGCGCTTTTGCGGCTAAACTGCAAGTTTTCAGGAATTTTCCAAACTTGAAAAAATATATGAACGATTTAGATATACACAAGAAAACAGACAAAGAAAGAGTTACTGAAGAATTTATTTCTTTGATTGATTATTTAATCAAGGAATTTTCAGCGAGATTTACGCAGTTCAAGGAATTATCGGAAATAATCAAGTTTATTATGTACCCTGACGAGACGTCATTTAATAAATTGAACTTGTCCCAATTCGATTGGTTGGAAACGAAGAATTTGAAATGCAGGTGATTGATTTCCAGTCCAGTTCAATATGGATTCAAAAATTTATTGAAACAAGGATAAACTTAGAACTAATAGAACCAGAAAGATTGACAAGTGATATAAGTGAAAATACTAATAACAAAATTTTGAAAACGTGGAATGCATTACCGGACACATTGAACTGTTTGAAGAAGCTGGCTCATGCTATATTAACGTTATTTTTATTCATTATTTTCAGAAATGAACATTGAACAATATTAGAGACATGGTTAGAAACTGTTTAACAGACTAATTCGGTTCAGCATGCATTCTGCTAAAAGTAACATCTTACAACCCTGATGTAAATTATTTATCATCTAATCTGCAACAACAGGAGTCACACTAATTTAACTTTAAGTAACTGAAATTACGAATTTAATTGAAACATTGCAAAATGTACCTTTTTTGTAGCAAATTAAGAATTGATAATACTTATTAATATTATTAGTTTCGCAGAAATTACGAATTTAATTTAAACATTGCAAAATGTACCTTTTTGTAACAAATAAAGAGTTGATAATATCTATTATTATTATTTTCCCAATTTTCCTAAGTCAAAATTATCAGATGACCTCATGTAACATTTCTTTAAAAAAATGGCACGTTGATGCATAAAGGTTCGCCTACCCTGGCCTAGGTAGTCAGATAGTTGAGTCAGTCAAAAAGTTTTGTTTGTTTTTTGATGAAAACTTCGAATTCACTTCTACGCGAATAATGCAACCGTTTTGCGGAAGCTTTACCTGAATAGATAGATATTTGAGTTTAATGCCAAAACATTTTTATATACATATTTAATGATGTCAGAAATTGCATGTTACGATTAAGTATATAGCAAAATTACACAAATTTTATTTATTATGATATATTCACAAATCCTTATATACATCGCTTCCTTTATTTTTGAAAAAAAAAGCTGATATCTCACTCACAGAATATTCAGTTTACTGACACTTTAGCTATGCCTATTCACTACACCTACACCTGTAATGCGGTCAAACCATAAAGGATTCACAATCACATAAAATCAACATGACCTTAGTAAAAGCTTTCTAGTTTTCGATAAATTGCCACTTTTAAGTTATTTCCAAAAATCCCTTTTTTGCTCCTTTTTTGCCTGTTATGGCTAAAAAGATCTTATAACTTATGATTTTCATCCTGGGCTTCCATTAATAGCTGGTTGAGACAACCGAGTATTCATTTTATTTAAAACTAACACGCATAAAAAAATGAATTATTACATATGGTTTCAATGGGAAAAACTTTATAAAGTTTCAATAATTACTGTGAAAAAAATATGCCAGACTGAATCAGCAAATAACCTTATAAACTAGCTATTTAATTTTCTTTTTAAAATAGTGTAACATTTAAAGGTGCTTTTTACTAAAAACTGATTAACTCGAAGTTTTGTCATTGAAGTCGTAATACTTGCAAAATACTAGAAATAGAAAATAATATTTTTAAAAGAGCATAAATTTGGCTACCTTTTAAGACCATTTGCCGATTCAGTCTGGTACATTTTTTATCAAATTTTTGCTCCGTTTTGCCTGTTATGGCTACAAAGAACTTCTAACTTATGATTCTTTTTCATTTAAAACTAACTCGGAATGAAAAAGGACTAAATTATCACATTTGGTTTCAATGCGAAAACCTTTACTAAAGTTTGATTCATTACTGTGAAGAAAATATACCAGACTGAATCAGCAAATAATCTTAAAAACTAACTATTTAATGTTCTTCTAAAATAGTGTAACATTTGTATGTTCTTTTTACTAAAAACTGAATAATTCCAAGTTTCGTCATTGAAGTCGTAATACTTGCGAAAAAAATTGTGTTTTTAAATAAACATCAAATAGGCTACTTTCTAAGATCATTTGCCGATTCAGTCAGGCTCTTTTCTTTCACAGTAAATAATCAAGCTTTTTTAAAGGTTCTCTCATTGAAACAAAATGTAATAATTTTTTTTAACATACCGTGTTGGCTTTCAATGAAATGAATACTCGGTTGTCTCAACCAGCTATTAATGTTAGATGTTCTATATAGGCATAACAAGCAAACAAAGCAGCAAAAAGTGGGAATTTTTTGAAAAAACCTGAAGTGGCAATATCTCGAAAACTAGAAAACTTTTACTATGGCATGTTGATTTTATCTGATTGATCTGAAGCCAATCTACCTCCAGTATCACTCTGGCGTGTTATTTCTGGGACACCCTGTAGTAGTTTGCAATTAAATTCTATTTCAAGGCAGTGGTAGCTATATAGTGTTCATAAAATACGCCATTCAGCTTGGCTGGAATCAAGTCACTAACTTCCGATGTGGCCGAAGCGAAATCTACAAAATACTGCATATAGCCATGTATTGGATAGCCTGTTCGAATAGAACCTTGGCGTGTCGATATCTGTGATCTAGTAACTCTCATATTTTGATTCAATTACGGCGACAGCTTCCGTATCTTCAGGAAATTACCAGATGACTGAGAGAGCAAAGTCGGGCGAAATCTCCATTTCCAGTTCCTCATTCGAGCTGGTCATGTCGTGTACATAGGAATGAATCTACAGTAGCTTCCAAATAGCAGATTTTGTGCACATTAAGAGGTGCATATGTCATTGTGACATCCGTCGTATTACGAGCCCTAACACAAAATAGTTCTGATATTATCTAATTCTTTCTTAAAGTTTGTTAATTTTTTTAAGTTTACAATTTTTTTTCTTTTATCAGACATTGAAATATAGTACTTGAACATCATATTGTTAAAATTATTATCAAGTAATGTGATATTAAATTATAAAAATAAACTTATATTTATAACAACGCAATATTTGGCTGACACATAAATGTTCGGATAAACCATTACAGTAGCTCGTTACGTCTCCCTTCCCCTCAATAACAGCATTAATTCTGGCTTGCATAGTTTTATCCCGGTTTCCGGTCTTAAAAGAATTCCATGCATTTTGTAATTTTACTCGTAAATCAGAAATATTTCATTGTTCGATCATTTCGTAAGTGCTGCTTCATTTTGTGACATACAGTTTCGATAATATTCAAATCAGGACCTCTAAAAGGCCAATCAATGACGGAAATATTATTATTCTGCAACCATGTTTTCGTAGTTTTGGCCGGCATGATGCCTCATCTTGTTGAAAAATAAAGTTTCTATCAGGTGATATAATTGGAATTAACACTAGCAAATTGGTTTCAAGGATTTTTTGATATTTAGCTGCGTTTACTGTTCCGTTTATGAAGTGAAGTTTTCCAACGCCAAAAGCAGATATACTTCCCCATACCATTAAACATGATGGAAACGCTACTTTTCTCTTCATGAAACACTTCATTTTTGTTCCTTATAACCCGGGATCGGTGGTCAAGCACACAAACATCAAATTTTGATTCATCGCTAAAAACGAACCCTTTCCAGTCTTTGTAAGTCCATATTGTCCGTTCCTGAGCCCATGCTAATCGCCTTTTCTTTTGTTATCCAGAAACAACGGCTTTTCTTTTGCTCTAAGCGAAACTTTTACTAGATAAATATGCCACATGGCCCTTAAATGCAACCTATGAATCTTATAAAAATGTAATCCAGACTTATGAATCTACCACCGACAGCACGTTTCTCGTCAAACATTTCCTGTTGTTTCTCCATTCGATTTTGATGTTATGTATTTTACAGCACCTGGACGACCAGCTTCACAAATACGATCTTTGTATTGCAGGACTGATCTTACGTGGCCTACCAACACCGTGTCTTGAAACTGGAGTTGAACCTGTGTTTGCATACATTTTTACAATATCTGCCATCGTATACTTTGCGATATTTATTTGTTCAGCAATATTCCGAAAATTCTTTCCTTGATGAAACAATTTTATTATTAAAACCCTGATTGCACCGTCTGTTCCTTTACCACGCAACTTTTTTAAAGCAAATTAGTTCACAGAATTGATTCTTAAATCAAAATGTCAAATTGTAAACACTCTTTTGTTTCCATGGCCGGCTATTATTTTCTTCTTAGTATCGTGTCCGAAAACTTATGTCATTAAAATGTTGCATTATTATCAATATTAGTTTGATTTTATATTTCAATATCATATTAGTACTTAAAAACAACAGTTTTGTTAATATGTGAAAATAATATATATATATATATAGGTGAAAAATTAAAGCTTCCGCCTTTTGTTGGGTACTTCGACAAAATTTAAGCAAAGAGGACTCTTTATACTTTTTTTAATTCTCTCTAGCTTTCAATGGACTTTGCCATCATCATCAGGAGCTGCAATTACAATGATAACAGTAGCAACAAAAGTGTAAAATGAATTTAAATTGAATCAACTTACAGTAGTATGTGAGGATGTTGCTAATTGTTGTTTTCGTATAGGTTGAGGGAAACGTCCAGTAATATGGTGAGAGCTGGATACATGGTACAATGGTTGAAATTATATAAAATATGACAAGACAAGTTAAAGACAGATTAAAAATTATTTAGAAAACATTAGAGCATTACGTCGTGAAGCCACTTGATGATTGCACAAAATGGTGGTCATGGAATAATGAGTGAGATGAACCTTTGACAGAAGGCCGAAGGTTGTCAATGTCTGTGTTGAAAGATGGAACGAATTGTGGGCGTGTGCCAAAACGTTGCCAAATCACTTCAGATGATGTGATTTTCAGAATGTTATGTAAGAAATTGGGGCTGATGATATTTTTTCAAATTATTGATTAACCTACAATATGAGTTTTGAATTTTTTGGGGACGTGCTAGAGATATTGAGTCAAGAAATGGAAGATAAACTAAATCGCAATAACTAATTTTGGAGATTACCAAAGATTCACACAAAAATTTTTAGTTGTAAAGTCAAGAAATTGTTTATTAAGATATAATTGACGTAAAATTCCATGTAGTATAAACATAGACATTCATCTAAAGTTACGCCCAAGTTTATCACTGACTCACCTACTTCTATAGTCTCACCATTTAATTTTACTTTAAAATTTCTTTTGGCATCACTTCTAAGTAGTTTTGGTGAAAAAAATGATGATTTTCGATTTTAAAGGGTTCAACTGAAGGTTATGATGTTTTGCATACATACTAATGGATGTTATGTCTTCATTTACCTCAGATTTAGCATTTCGGAAGTGGTGATTATGGAAATGACTGTAGATCTGTGAATCGTCGGCAAAGAATTGGATATTACGATATTTATCAACTGAGTGGAGATCAGA